TGTTCAAATGTCAGAGAATAGGGGATACACATCATTTAAATTACCATAACACACACACACACACACACACACACACACACACACCAAACCTATGAGTCAGAATAAATCCCTTCATCCCTAAATTTATTCTGTTAAATATTTTGTTGCAGCAATGAAAAAGCTGCTACTTTCAGAGATTGGTCTCTGTGGGCACTGCAGGCCCATGGTACAGAGACAACATGCAGACAAAACACACATACACATAAATAAGAATTCTAAAAAAATTGAAGTAGAATAAAGATTACAAACCTTTAAAATGCAGTTAAGTGAATATACTTTGAAAAATGTAGTAAAGAGATGGATAAGGAAAACACCAGAGGTGAAGTTTAAAAAAAAAGAAAGAAAAATTTAAAAAGTATCAAAAAAGTAAAGAACTGTTAGCTCAGTTTCTTTTTGGGTCTTCGAAGACTGGAGACTGACAGTTAACTGGGCAGGAGGAAGGACAGTTGGACTTTTCGGCTTTTTTCTGTTGGGTAGTTTACACTGGTTGCTGAGCCTGCATTGGACTTCGTTTGAGACATGACTTGGCTTTAGTAGTGCCTCTTCTTTGTGCCACAGTGCCCTCTACTGGCCAAAATGAGCTTGTGTTGTCTCTGGACTTGGGCAGGTTTTCTCACATTAGAGACTCTGTACCTCCTGGGTTGGGATGATGTTTGAATAAGGGGACATTTCTTCTGGGTATGTTGGGAATGTGAGAAGCAATGGCACTGACACCCACATGGTTGGAAGCCCTGTCATCATAATTCCACAAATTCCTGCAGATGTGGATATCCCCGCTGGAGGGATGCAGCTGCAGATATTACAGCTAGACCTTCAGGGTTTTCTACTCTGCAGGCATGTATGGCAGACAAGTGTCTCCAGAGGTTGTTCCACCCACTGACCTCAGGCACAGAGCTAGAAAAATAGTTATTCTCATTTGAGGAGATTGTCTGGCCATGAGGAAAAAGGCTTTTCTTATATGCCTTATCTCGTATCTAATATACCTACATACCTTATCTTTGGTATTATATACTCTTTCTTATATACTGTATATTGGACACCTTTCCTTATATACTTCAGTCCTTGAACTGAGCTCCTACTACCTGTGGTTTATTGACTTGACAGCATCCAACCCTCCTGCTCTCTATAACTGTGTCCTAGGTTTCTGTCTCCTCCTGTGGTTGTATCAGGCTGAGTCCAGACTCCCATATTTGTAGTTCTCTGTCTCCGGTTCCTGGAGAAGTTCAGTTTTAAACAGTAGATTCACTCTGAAGATGTCACTAGATGCTCCTTGAATTATATAGAATGACAAAGTAAGATTTCTGCCCACTTCCTACTCATTCACCACAGGAATTACCATCTCATTAAAAATCTGCACCTTGTTGCAAGGCCCAAAAGAGCTCGAGGCTTGTCTGGAGTGGAGACTACCAGTCTGGGTTTACCTTGGATGCCTGAAATAATTTTTGGATGGGGCTTCAGCTTCCTCCTGCTACCAAAGAACTGTGAAGATTGAATTGTGTTCTGCTGGGTTTAATTTTTGTCTATGTATATCTGTATGGAGTGCACGTCTCTGTGCATGTGTGGAGAGGACAGAGGACAACAGCAGGTGTCCACTTTGGTCACTCTCAACCTTCTACTTTAAAACAAGGTCTCAGGGAGAGGTTAGTTGCCTACGGTTGGGGGACCTGTGAAAACTTCCTCTTCTGCACTAGCATGTCTATTGACATTACTCTTGTTCCACTGCCATTACTAGAAGATAGTCACACAGTAGATATCCTGGTCCTTTTTTTTTTTTTTTTTTGGTTTTTCGAGACAGGGTTTCTCTGTAGCTTTGGTGCCTGTCCCAGAACTAGCTCTTGTAGACCAGGCTGGCCTCGAACTCCCAGAGATCCGCCTGCCTCTGCCTCCCGAGTGCTGGGATTAAAGGCGTGCACCACCACCACCTGGCTAATCAGAGCATTCCTTCCATGTATGCCTGCATGCCAGAAGAGGGCACCAGACCCCATTACAGATGGTTGTGAGCCACCACGTGGTTGCTGGGAATTGAACTCGGGACCTTTGGAAGAGCAGGCAATGCTCTTAACCGCTGAGCCATCTCTCCATCTCTTGTTCCACTACCACTACTAGAAGAGAGTCGCACAGTAGATATCCTGGTCCTTTGGTTTCTGTAATCCTCCCACCCCTCTACCACAATGTTTCCTGTTCTATAGATGAAGGAATGTGATGTAGGTTTATTCATTGAGGCTGGAATCCCCAGGATTTCTGATGTCTGCATTGTGTCCACTTGTGGGTTTCTGTGTTCTGTGATGGTCTCCATTTCCTGTAAATACAGGCTTCTTTGACCCTTATAATGTAATTCTATTTTAGTTAAAATATATATTTTTTAAAAGCAGAGTCTCTCACATGACTCGGAGCTCAGCAATTCAGCACTGGGAGTGCAAGTGATCCACTGTTTCTGCCAGGCATTTTTACTATGTAGGCATTGAAGATCTGAACTTTGGCCATCATCTTTCCATAGCAAGTTTAGTCAGGGAGTCCTCTCCTAGTCCTTTGACTTATTTCTCTTCAGTGTTTTGCTTCTTTTTTTCTCCAGTACCTCTCAGTGGTTCTATGGTTCTAGCATGACTGTTGTAGATTTAGGAAATTTTCCTTCTCCTCCTCCTCCTCCTCCTCCTCCTCCTCCTCCTCCTCCTCCTCCTCCTCCTCCTCCTCCTCCTCCTCCTCCTCCTCCTCCTCCTCCTCCTCCTCCTCCTTCTTCTTCTATTCCAGACACAGTTCTCCTTCCTACTCCTGCCCATTCTTTCTCAAACAGAACATTCTATTAAGCAGGACACGGGTCTACAGGTTCTATAGACAGTAAAAGTGCAAACTTATTACTGTATCTCTTTGTTTTTATGTTCCACACAGAAATGGAGTCTCTATTGATTCCCTGTGTATCAGAATCGGTAATTTTTACTGGCCTGAAACCGGGGTATATACATAGTAGCTCTAAGATCCAAGTCTATCTCTGCCTTTCTGTAGGTTTTTGACCTTGGGTAAAACTTTTCTTTCAAACTTGCTTCAATCCACCAAATGCTGTAGGCTAGATAGCAGCCTTGGTTCTGAGAAAATTGGAAAGCTTTCTCTTTAGCACAAATGACAATAGCCTTAGGACATAATAACTATTCAGTTGAGACATAAAGGAATAATGGGTTCTTTCTGATGTCCATCACAGTCTTTCCAGAGGGTAAGGTGCTCTGTCCTTTGATCACAATGTCCTTCAGCATGCACAACAAGGTGCTTTTGACCGCTCTTCATTCACTATGCACACATTTGTCAGAATTTGCATAACTGCATGAGTATTCCGGGGTATAAATGTCTATTTTCTTTTGGAAAAGTTATGACACAGTAAGGAGGATTAGAAGAATGTTCTTCAACGAAGAAAGTAAAAAGCAGCTAACTCCCAACCACTTGCCACACTCTATTAATAAGGGATATGAACCGGAACCTTTCATTACTGGAGATGTGTGTAATACTGGAGATGGATTGTGATAGCTCTGAATGGAGATTGTGCTATGATGGAAAATAATGAGCAAGAATTAACTAAAATAGTAACTATTTTCCTCCCAAATTAGGCTCCAAAAATAACTTTTGTTTCTTGGACTGGGATTCTTTGCTTTTTTCACACATGTGAGCTAAGTTGTAACTGGCATTAAGTCAATTATTTCCGAAGGAAAAATGGCGTTTTCAAAGACTTTGAGAAGATCAGGTATTCTTTTTTTTATTTTTTTCTTTATTTATTTTTCATTAAAAATTTCCACCTCCTCCCATTTCCCTCTCTCCATTCCCCTCCCCCTCCCTCTCCAGTCCAAAGAGCAGTCAGGGTTCTCTTCCCTGTGGGAAGTCCAAGGTCCTCCCCCCTCCATCCAGGTCTAGGAAGGTGAGCATCCAAACAAACTAGGCTCCCACAAAGCCAGTACATGCAGTAGGATCAAAACCCATTGCCATTGTCCTTGGCTTCTCAGTCAGCCCTCATTGTCAGCCATGTTCAGAGAGTCCGGTTTTATTCCATGCTCTTTCAGTCCCAGTCCAGCTGTCTTTGGTGAGCTCCCATTAGATCAGCCCCACTGTCTCAGTGAGTGGGCACACTATAAAGATCTTTAACCTGTAAGATCTCGTGGACTCTGGGGTGGAGATGAGCTAGATAGTTCTGCTCAGGATGCTTGAAAGGAACCCATGACTTTTCACTTATTCATGAGACACTTAATTTTAATGGATGATTTGACTCTTTGGTCCCCAATTTCTAAGTCGTTGGCCCTAGTGGAATCAAGTACAGGATCCCACATGTGATGAGACTTCTAAGGGTGTGTTCAAGAAGCACTGCTAGCCTGTGTGTTTCTTAATTGCATCTGATAAGGATATTTGTTATCCATGGCAATATTGGAGGGGCTTTATGGCCATTACATTAGTTTAGTCAAAGTATAAAAAGCCTATGTTTTTGAAACTCATCTTCAGATTCTCTGCCTTTATCAGCATTTCCCCTCATGTTTACATATGGTTACAACAGAAAAAATGTCTGAAAAAAGAATCCCTGATTTCTTTATAGACAGTTGGTGGCTAATGACTGTTAATCCCACTTTTTACCATGATTGGGCTTTAAGACCATTTGTTGTTTGTTTTGGATTGTCTTGAAGTACACCAAGTCAGTTGCAATGGAGACATTTACTGCAGGTTTGGTGTTCAATTTTCTAAACATCTCCTTCACTGTTAACCATCCTCTCTCCATTCCCATCTTTTCCCATCCTCCCTCTCTTTCTCTCTCCTCTTCTTTCTTCTTTCCTGATCCCCAAGGACAAATTATTGGTTAATTATTGCTCTTGAAATCAGACCAAGAGTGGGGCTGGAGAGATGGCTTGGTGGTTAAGAGCATTGCTGCTCTTTCAGAGGACCTGGGTTCAATTTCCAGCACCCACATGGCAGCTCACAACTGTCTGTATCTCCTGCTTCAGGGGATCCAACGCTCTCATACAGACATACATGCAGGCAAAACACCAATGTAGATAAAATAAAAATAAATTATTTTTTTAAAAAAGAAATCAGACAAGAGTTGGATGCAATCACAAATGCACCCGCGTGGTGCTATGTAGAATAAATACTATTATATCTCCACGTTTAATTTCTAAAGAACCCAGAAGAACACACAGACTACATCTTTTAAAGTTGTAAGATTTTCAAAGATTGGCTGTCATGTTGGAAAAGCCAAAGCTCCCCTACAGGGCAAACAACACTTTCAGAATGACAGCAAGGAACATTCTAAGATAGATGTTGAATCATTTTATGCCAATTAGGACAAAGGGAATTCACTGTGGAGGAAGTTTGTGTGAGAAGACAGAGTAGGAGGAGCAGAAAGGGAGAGTATAAAGTCAGAGGCAAGGATTGCTCCTGTGTGTGCCATCTGCAGACAACTAGAGGTGATGAGACATCTTGTGGGCTGGCTGTTGTTAGCTGTCTGCATGTATGGACTGGATGCAGGTGAGGTGGAAAAGAGGGGGTAAGAATTGAAATGGGAGAACCCAGAGCAAGTAAGGATTGAGAAAGGCTGGAAATCAACAGTCCATGACATCTTTTCAGTACAGCAAGCAGAGGGTGGAGAGCTGAGAATTGAACTATTGTTCATTCTTTCCCTCCTTGGTTGAGTGAGCACAGAACAGGTGACTTTGCATGTAAGGAAGCCCTAGTTTCGACATCTGTATAGTGATAAAAATGCCTTCATGAAAGAGGGATACTATTACAGGTTGCTTTGAAAATTTTTTGCAAAGTCTGTTTTTAAGGAAGCAAGTTCTAAAATAAATAGTGTATGGACTCAGAGATTCTTTGCATTAGGATGGTCTATTAATGCCTTCCTAGCTGGCTGTTGACTGCAGTGTCTGTAAGTTTCAAACACACACTTCATGGGCTGCCTGTGGGGCAGATTTCAGAGAGACTGGGCTCAGGTTTGGTGGGAGAAATTTCATGTTGATTCCTTTTATAAGTCATTTGTAATTTGAACCATATGAATGACATCCTTAGGAGACAAGTAACCTCAATGCAGAACAAGGGGCATCTTATGGTGTAGTTGTGAGGGTTAATCAGGAAGGGCAGAGGAGTTCCTTAGAGTGGCCAGCATCTTGCAGCCGTGTCCACAGGAATGCAGAGTCCTAGAGAAATTTGGACTTGCTGTGCATGGCAGCTTGAAGAGCACAGAGCGTGGGGTACTGTGTCTAATGAAGAGAGAGGCAGAACATCTTGTTGTAGCAGTAGTTTCTTTTGAAGGAGTCTCATGGAGTCCAAATAGATTTCATGCTCACCATGTAGATGAAGATAACCTTAAATTACTGATTTCCCAGTTTCTATCTTCTGAGTGCCAAGATTACAGATGAGCACCACTATCCCTAGTCAGTTTATATGTTATTGGGATCAAACTCAGGGCTTCTTTGTGAATGTTATGCAAGCACTCAACCAACTGAACCATATCCTCATCTCTTAGAAAGGATTTAGATTCTCGTTACCAGAGATCTAAAGAGGAAGAATCACGCAACTTGGAATGCTTTGACATAGTATCTAAGTAACTCTTGTCTATGACAAGGCAGAGTAGCTGTATTTAAGAAAGGACTGGGAACAGGTAGAAGAGAGGGGTTGAAGGCTGGAGGGGGAGAATTCAAAGCAAGTAAAAACTGAGAAAGGCTGGAGGTCAAGATGAAAGCATACTGAATCATGATGTGATATTTACTCTATTTGACCAAGGGAGTCACATCACTTGCTGTCAGGGCTTTATTTCCCTCCTGTGCTCCATGGAATGACTTTAGCCTACTCCGGGGAAGACATCAAAAGAGCAAGAGCTCACATCTGAGTGGATGGCGCTTCCTGGCTTTCCAAAGCTTGCAGTGACATTTCCTGGGCAGATATACAACCCCAGCTTGATGAGATGTTGCAGAACACTGATGTATATGTCATAGTCATTCTGAATATGCAGTGCTTTAGAAGGTGGCTTACATTTTACCAATTATTTTTTTTTTTGTCTTTTAGACTTGATTTCCTATTTACACCCCCCAGAGGAAGGTAAGAAAGCAACCACTATCTGGCAGCATCTTAAATGTCAGCTTCCACCCCTCAAAGAGTAAGAGATGCACACTTTCCTGCCATGGAAACTTTTTCTGACCTAAGAGGATTCCCTGGGTCACATCAGCTAAACAATATTAAAGAACTCACTTGTCACTCAAGAAAGGCACTTTTTACCCATTGGGACTCTGTTAAGGCACTATGTGCATTTCTGTACTTGATAGTTTATTCTCTTTTCTTTGGCAAATAGTTATTATGCATGTATGGAGTCAACTTTGAAGTTTTTATATAGGTTCATATGCGTCATTAAATCAAGGTCATTAATGTAATTAATAAAACCATCTTTTTACAAATATCATCTAAAACTTTTTATCTTTTAAAAATATCATTGCATTACTTCCCTTTATTTCCTTTCCATTCTCCACCTTCTCCAATGTTCCCTTTATATGACTCTCAAATTCCTGGCCTCCTCTTCTGTAATATATACTTATATATTCTTACATATATAGTCATAGCCTGCTGCATCTGCACAGGGATGCATGCATGTACATGATTTTAGGGCTGACCACTTGGTATTGGATAATCAAGTAGGAGACTCCGCTATGAGAAAAAAGAAACGATTTCTCCCACTCTCAGCATCCTTTAGTTTCCTATAGTTTTTTGACTAGGGGTGAGGTTTAGTGATATTTTCTCCTTCTGTGTTAGCATGTCCATTATTGTTGTCCTTGCTCAGGTCTTGTTTAGGCAACTATATTGTTGAGCTATCGTGGGTGAAGCTTTCCTTTCATTTCTAGGAGACACAATCTCACAGTAGATTTTCTGGTCCTCTGACTCTTACAATTTTTCTGTTCTTCTTCCACAATTTTTTCCGGGTCTTCTATGATGAAGCTGTGTTAAAGATGTATACACTGGGAATGGGAACCTTTTAATCAGTTGTTCTTTGTGTTTTGACCAGTTGTGGTTTTCTGTAATGGTCTCTGATGCTAAAAGAAGTGTCTTTGATGAAGGGGAGAACTGCACTTATCTGTGGGTATGCGGATAAATATTTAGAATGAGTTAGGAATTATGCTGCAAAGATACAGATTTTTTATAAGGAAAGATAAGCAATGTCAAAACCTTTTCTTCTCTTAAGAACAAGAGAATGTCAGTGGGTCGTCTGTATGGCTCAGTTTACGATATGAGTGAGCTCAGGTCCTTCAGAGTGGAGCAGTGCATATGGAGAAGGCGAAGATGCTATTGTTGCAGACAGGGCAGAGAAAATTATAAGTGATGCCAATGCTTGTAGATGGCAGTGGGGGACTGGATAGATGTTTGGGGATCGCATTAGTAAATCAGAGGAACAGATGATAGGAAAGGTTCCAGACTATGAGCTCTGGAAATGAAGTCTCTCACTGCTAATGGACCTCTCACTGAGGAAATCTCTGACTTTGTTGGAGATTTGCTGGTATTTTCTGTCACAAACAGGAAAGATAGCAAATGACACCAGCTGCAGCTATATGCAGGCGTTCTGGGAAAACAGGACCATGCCTCACTGAAATGAACATTTTAAAATCAAGTTCCAGCTGGGAACGGTGAGGCGGGGGACTGACATGAGTTAGAGGCCAGTCTTGGCTCCAGAGTTCTAAGACAGACTACGTTACAAGAGTGAAATTTTGCTTAAAATTGAAATCAAATACAAAAATTAAAAGTCAATTCCTGCTAAGCATGATAGTGAATGCTTTTAATGCTAACATTCAGGAGGCAGAGGCAGGTGGATCTCTGAGTTAAAGGCCAGCCTGGTCTAGATAGCAAGTTGTAGGCCCGCCAAGGTCAGCCTAATGAGAACCTGGAATCAAAGAAACAAAAGATAATACAATAAACTCATTTCCCATCTTGAACATCTTTTACATTTTGAAATTGTTCTTTTCTCCAGAATTTCCTGCGCAAAACTGTACTTTTCCGTTCATCTATAATGAGGTAGTCTACCACAGCTGCATCTCTGTGCACAGTGACTTTGATTGGTGCTCCCTTGATTATTATTTCCAAGGAAGGTGGAGATACTGCAAAGCATTTGGTGAGAGTCCTATAAAGGTGTATATTAGATATTCAGGACCCGAGAGACAGTGTGTAGAATCTGGAGAAAATGTTTTAGATTTCAGAAAATGGTCTTTCCTACATAAAAAAAAAATCATAGAAAAAAAGCTCAATGTTTTTTCAGCAGGGCTTAATTTGAGGACAGTATTCATAGTTTACTCCTTACCCATCTTTCTCTGCAGATCCTCCAATATGTATCTTCCCTTTCCAATTTGGAAAAAAGTCCATTAACGAATGCACCAAGCAAGGCTACATTTTGAATCGGAGTTGGTGTTCATTGACTAACAACTACAACAGAGATAGGAAATGGAAGCAATGCTCTCCTTACAAGTAAGATGAAGGGAGAAGGTGGAACAATGAATGTCCTATAAGCTGCGAAAGGAGCAAGACATTAGGTTGATGGATGGGGAGTCTGAGATCTCCGTCTCCTCCTGCTATGACTTAATTAGGGGGCAGTAGACTTTTCCTGTGAAGTATCTCCTGTTGAGTACAGCAGGTTTATCAGAGTGTGTGGTACTGGTCACCAATATTCAGCTCAGCTTTGTAGCACAAACGTGGCCACAAATGGAACAAGTGTACTGGACCATGGGCAAAGCTGATGTTCTGGTGCATAATGCTGTTTCATGATTATAATGGCACGTGCATTGCTTACTTTTGTCATTGCTGTGACAAAACACATGATGAAAACAACTCAACAAAGGAGGGACAGGTTTTCTAGAGTTCCTGGTTTGAGGGAACACAGCCAGCGGTGGTATGGAAAGAAGGGGTGGTGGGGTAGAACTCGAGTCAGCTGATCGCATTGTATCGGCATTCAGCAGAGACAGACAGACAGACAGAGGCTTGTACTCAGTTGGATCACTCCTGTTTTTCTTTTTCTAGTGACTGAGGCTTCAGTCCAAGAGCTGTTGTTGCCCACATTTAGGTGAGTTTTTACTCCTCAGTTAACCCTTTTCTGACATGCCTGCATGTGTGTTTCCTAGGTGATTCCAAATCCAGTCTAGCAATGACTACTAATTAGTCATGTTGTTACGCATGCATTGTTTTCCAGTTTTAAAAATTGTTTTGAGTCACAAAGTAAATATGACATAGATACTCACTGAAACTCTAAAGCAGCACACGGCAAGAGAAACATCAGCGTTCTTTCTGTTCTCCTCCCAGGAACTCCCTTCTTCCACAGGTGCTTGTGCCCCCCCTCATACATCTCTATCGGTACATATATCTTTAAGATATAACTGAATCTGCTTTCCCCATTGTCACCATGGCTTGATCATCACTTAAAACACACTGAGGGGGTTTTCCCTATGAATACATCAATCTCCCTAACTTTCTTGTGTGCACGCTTGTGAAATTATAAGTGGTTAGAGATTATCCATCATCCATATATGAAGCTTCCGATTACAACAAACCTTGGTGAACATTTACAGTGATGGATGGATTTTTCAAACAGTGGACAGCATAACTTTATGTCATTATAAAAACAAGATGTATATTCAGTTTCAGTTTTTATTTAGTTAGTATTTAAAATTTTTATTTAAATATTTTATGCAATATGTTTTGATTGTATTGCCCCCTCTTTTTCCAGAACCTCCTTATCAATATTTGGCTACTTCTTTACCTTATATTCTCTCTCTCCATTTCTCAAACACACACACACAAATATGTACACATCCCCATCCCTCAAAACCATTACAATGAAGAATATGTGCAGCCTTCTGAAGCCACTGGTATTATGCCAAATGGACTCATGCTATTCTAATCTCCTATCAAAGAGAAGAAAAGACTGTTTAATAGCAGGGGATACAAATGAGACATTGACATTGGGAGGATGGAGAACCAAGATATTCACTCTAACATGTTACCTTCTCTTCAGTTTTTAGGTAAGCTGTGTGCTTTTGAAGAGACAGAAGTTACAGATTCATTAGTTGCTTCTCTAGCTACAATTCTCTGTCATTAAGAAGTATTATGATAATAAATGTCTATGCTCTTGTCTATCTGGATATCCTGCTTCTGGAAAAAAATGTCAAAGCATACATTTGTTGTGTGAGAGAGTTTTCCTGAGGAGACAATACACACAGACACACATACCTACTTACTCCAGATTCAGAACTCACAAAAGATGAAAGTAATGATAACACCAAAGTCCAACCTGGTGAACTTATTAATTTTTATTGTGACTACTAAGATGAATATGGGTAAGGGGTTACTTACAAGAGCAAGGATTCACCCCTTCTCCCAAATCAGCTGTATCACAGAAAAGCACACCTTAACAGTGATGACAACTCATGGAACCTGCATCTTGAATCTCCTTGCCCAACTTGTAACTCTAGTGGGTCCAAGAATGTCCTCTCAGTAGTTTTGCTGGACATATTATTGTCTCTAGCAGTTTAAATCCTTGATAAAGCTGTAAAAGGAATTTAACAAACCTTGCAAATTTCCACTTTTTGAGAGTGTGACATTTTGTTTACCTCCAGGGTCTTCTGAGCCTCCCCTTCTTCCTGCAAGGAGAGTTTGAGGAAAACACTATACAACAGAATAGATGATTCACATTGTTACACAGTAGCAGTGGGACACATACAAGTCTTCAAGAAGAGTAGTGTACAATGAAACAAACAGACCAAAAGATAGGGAGAAAGGAAAATAGAACTAGCAAGAAACAGGTTGTGTAGCAGCCAACTCAGTGGGTAAAGTGTATGATGGACAGGCATGAGAACCTAAGTTTGGATCCCAGAACCTGCATAAAAGCAGGCATGAAAAACATTCCTGTAACCTCAGCACTGCTTGGGAGTGGGAATGGAAGCAACAGATCCTAGTGGCTTGCTGGCCAGCCAGCCTACCTCTAATGGTGAGTTTCAAGTTCAGCAACAGATGCTGCCTCAAAAACAAAGTGGAGAGGAACAGTGAGAAATATTCAAAATCAACCTCTGACATTCACACATGTATACAAACTCAAGTGCATCTGATCCCTGTGAACACATGTGTATCTAACACACACAAACACAAAGGTGGGAGAGATTGAGACACATCTATCCCAATACATGCATAAAACAAAAGAGATAAGAGGCAATGAAGCATTATAACATTTCCAGGAGTTCACAGTTCCTCATTCAATTCTGGAAACCAAAGGTAATAAAAAGGCTAAAATACAAGATAAAGCTATTAACTACTCCAGGGCCTCATGTTCCAGAGTAGTTGACCAACATATAATAGGATCCACAGCTGTGTGTGTGTGTGTGTGCGTGCGCGTGTGCATGCTTTTATTTGGTTAAAGTTTATTGTTTGCTTTTCCTTTTCATTTTTGGGTATTATTTTATTTTGTTTTCTTAGTTTTAGGGGCTTTAATCATTATATTGGGTTTTTATCTTTTATTTTGAGAAAGAACTTAAAGTTGAGTGGATGGGGAGAGGGTATGGAAGGACTTGAGGGCAGGGAAAATAATCAAAATATATTTAAATTAAAAATTATTTAAGAGACGGAGCTGGGAGGCGCACGCGCCAGCAGACGGAGCTGGGAGGCGCAGGCGCCGGCAGACGGAGCTGGGAGGCGCAGGCGCCGGCAGACGGAGCTGGGAGGCGCAGGCGCCGGCAGACGGAGCTGGGAGGCGCAGGCAGGCAACGAGGGCTGCCGCCGAGACTGGAGGGGACCAGCGCAGCGGCAGAGGTCGCAGGCGGCAGGGACCAGCGTGCAACACCGAGAGCAGATCGCCCCACTACAATTAAATCAAAGAGGTAGGCCTTTGGTTGGCGAGGGCCCTGGCAAACGGGGAGCCGGGACCAGTTCCGGAAAACCCTTCTTAGGGGTGAGAGGGTTCTTGGCACCCAGCAGGAGCCAGGAAACAGAGCGAGGGCAATTAGTAAGAGAAGCCTCTGGCCAGCAGAGAAACCTGATCTGATTTTAAAAGACCAATTAGATAGCATTGAAAGGAGGAGATGGG